GGGGGGGGGGGGGGGGGGGGGAAAACAGTCCCAGAAGGGTAAAAGGCCCTCCTCCCAATCAGGATCAGCTGAGAGAGAGTTACCTGAGGACAATTAGGATCAGCTGATTCCAACTAAGGGCTGCCTGAGACCTTTTTAAACCTTCCCCTGTTGAGGGGGGGGGGGAGTCAAGCTGCCAGTAGGCGAGGAGCAGCAAGATGGCAAGCCTCACCAGGAGTAGAGGCTGCATTCCCTTCCATAAGGGAGGAAAACAAGCCTAAAAGACTGACTGAGAGAAGGAGTGGACTGCCCCTGTGCAGCCAAGAGGGACTGTTTTACCCCAAGCCCGTCTCGCCAAGGCTAAAAACAGCTGAGGCTGGTGAGACCGAAAAGGTGCCTTGCCACAGTGTGCACATATATGCAGATGTATATCAGAACAATCCTGAAGTGCACATTACATATCCAAGTGATTTAATATATCTATCTAGATTTTTGTAAGGTCACCCATCCCCATGTTACCTTTTCATAGTTGTCCTTCTTTTCTTCCCATTTCCCATTCCTATCCCCATCATTGTTACTTCCACTCTTCGCTTCATATACACAATTAAATCGTAAGCTCTTCAGGGTAGGGACAATGTATATTTTATTGTCTGTGTTCAGGGTGGAATCTACAAAGCAACTTAGGTGTCTAGATAGAAGTTAGGACCTTAACTTCCATTGATTTCAGTGACTGATTTCAGTAGAAGTAGAAGGAGGCTACATTGATTTGTGGAGTCCACCATAAATGTCTTATGAATAGTAACATTGTGTGTGTGTCTGTTTTTCCTTATTCCTTTGCTCCTTTTGCACAATATCTCACATTCAGTATAATTTTCCTTTGAATTTGTTTCTCTCAGTTCATTTTTGCCATCCTCTTGTCTCTAATTGTAGAATGAGATCCATAACTTACTGAGTTAGTACAGTTCAACATTCAAACTCGTGTTTTCTACAGGTCTCTTGTGAAACTCATCAACCTTAATCATTTAACAAAAACAACATTTAAACACAATAACATTTCTGAGTCACCCACTGATACTTCCACTCTCAGTAAAATGTATGGTTTCAGAGTAGCAGCCGTGTTAGTCTGTATCCGCAAAAAGAACAGGAGTACTTGTGGCACGTTAGAGACTAACAAATTTATTAGAGCATAAGCTTTCGTGGACTACGGCCCACTTCTTCGGATGCATATAGAAGTGGGCTGTAGTCCACGAAAGCTTATGCTCTAATAAATTTGTTAGTCTCTAAGGTGCACAAGTACTCCTGTTCTTTTTTTAGTAAAAATGTATGTGTGCCTCATTTTATTCATCTGGTTAGGTGCTAATCCTCAAAATGCTTCTGCATATGCATATGTAACCCACATACCTCCTGGGCATGGTGGGCACTGAGACCACTTAGAAAGAGAGATTAATGAGTCTGCGCTACAGCCTTAGCTAATAGTCATATATATGGCTTTTAGATCATGCAGTAGAGGCTCATGCATTAAGATCCAGAGGTCCCAGGTTTGATCCCACCCGCCAACGACCAGGGTCTGTTGGTGTTACATATACATTTAACACATGTGAACAATCCCAGTAATCTCAATTTGTGTGTAAAGTTATACATGTGGAGAAGTCTTAGGGGGCCTTAGATTTTAAATTTCTTGAGGTGATAGTCCTTGTCCTCTGTTTCTTCTTTACATCATAGAGTACACTATTTACTCTCAACAAGCAATTAGTGCCAATTGTGGTCTTGCCTACATGGCTGCAGAGGGGCCCGATGGGGAGAAAAGTCCCCCCCCCCATCCCTGCATACTCCTCCATGGCTTGTCCACATTTCTGCTACATATATTTGGAGAAGCAGGGCCACATTCCTAGTATTCTCTTACATCTGCCTTCCTCCACCATGCAGTTGGGCAGATTAAGTTGATAGGGTCATGGAATCTGCTAGTGGTAAAGATCGATATCCAATTCCTTCTCCCCGGGAACCGAGTGGAAGAGCAGGAGAGGAACTGAAGCACAGTTCCTTCCCTACGTTGCTCCTAGGGCTGCTCAGCTACATGCAAACCTTTTCTCTAGGCTAGAAGTAATCGGCAATCTGGCCCTAAATAATGATGATGCTGTTCAGCGGGGCTTGAAATTAAGCAAAAATGAGTCCGCCTATCGCAAACTATAACCCCAAAACACACATATCAAGTAAAGTTAATTGAATGCAAAATTTCTGGATTATGAGCAAACTTTTTAAAAGTGCCTATGTCACTTCGGAGCCTAAGTCTCATTTATTTTCAAAAGACACACTTGAAAACTTCCTGTTACTTTGGTTATCTCGAGTTATACATTAGTTTATATCCTGTGCTAAAATCAATATCCAAGTAGTAGTCAAGTAATAGATTTTGAGCCCACTAAATGATAGTTCATGAATAAGCGCTAGATGAAGAAGGATACCATATATTAAGTTGGTTGTCCCTAGGTAAACTGTCTTTGTATGTCAGTGGCAGAGCACTTGTATTGGAGCAATTGTATAAAGTTCTTGTTGCAACAACTTTTAAAGAAAATGCAAAAGTTGTTTTTTGTTAATGATAATCTAGGTCTCTAATCTGCAAAAAGACAGACTCTTACACCTGCACAGAGTCCCATTAAATTCACTGGGAATTCAGGTAGGGTATAAAGGTTCACCCAGGCACACCCTTTTGCAGGACTGAGGCCATAATGCGTTCAGCAGAATCTTCATGAGTACTGTGATCACAAACAAGGTACAAGTTCTTTTTTTGCATGTGCAAAGGAAATTCCTATGTTGTTTGCAATGCTGTTGTAGCTGTGTTGGTCCCAGAATATTAGAGTGACAAGGTGGGTGAGCTAATATCTTTTATTGGACCAACTTCTTTTGGTGAAAGATACAAGCTTTTGAGCTACATAGAGCTCTTCTTCAGGTCTTCTGTGAAAAGGTAGCTTTTGAGAAGACCTGAAGACGAGCTCTCTGTAGGTCGCAAGCCTGTCTCTTTCACCAACAGAAGTTGGTCCAATAAAAGATACTACTTCACCCACATTGTCTCTCAAAGGAGATTCCTAGGCATTTACTCTTACATAATTAATTTCATCTACTCTTGTGTGTAATGAAAAAAATTCTTAATCTTTTTAGGAAAAACTGTCAGAAGAGGACAGAAAATGCAAAGAAACTATGGAACACATTCATATTGCAGTAGATGAAGATTCAAGAAGTGAAAGTAGCAGTACTGAAGAAGAGAAAGAAAAGACAAAATTGCTATTAGAACGATTGAAAGCTCTGGAGGTAAGAAATAAAATAACTTTACACATAAAATATACCACTTCTTATAGTGGTACTGAATCAATGTGGTATAAATCCAGTCTTTCTCAGTTCACTTAGACTCATGTAACAGTATTTTTTTATCATGATTCATTTATCAAGGATGAGCAAAAAGTTCCATCTTGGAACTACTGTCTCTAATGTCAAGGATCATATATCCTTAAAAAGTACTTCATAAATAATTTTAATTCAGTTCAAGCTATAGGCTCAATCAAACCCGTTGACACTATCCAATAAGAAAACTTGTGTCATTCTGACTTTGTTTCAAGTGTTAATTTTTTTAATCGTGTGTCGCATACATAATTTAATAACCATCATAAAAATGGCATTCCTTCACTCTGGTGTTTGCTGCTGAAGTTGCAATATTTGGAGTACTTATTGTTGAAAACCTCACAGTCCTTACCAAACCCCCCAAGGAGAATGTACCTGAGTAAGTGCACTGAGTTCAATGTGCATGTACTTAAGCATGATGTAATAACCTCAAGGTTCGGAACCAAGGTCTGGACCAACATAGAATCAAATTCTGAAGTTCTTATTCAGTGCTCAATTCATTGTAGTCTGTTCAGGTTCTTATACAGTGGTTCAGCAGTACAGTATACAAATGCTTTCTAGTGATCTCAGAAGGAGTTTTGCCTGAGATTGAGAAAAACAAGGACTAAAGATTCAGTCACTGGGGCTATAGATTTCTGGTTTAAGCAAACAGGAAAATTCTCCTTCTGCTTCATAATCCACATAACATTCTCACTTGATTTATACTCCAATTCAATTAAAAATCAAGTTCAATATTAGTGTCCTGGAAGATTTTGTAAAACAAAAATAAAACAAAAAGTGGTAGGTGTGTTCAGATCTAAGTACAAAGCACAGGCCTCACCTAAAATTATACAAGGTCTTTATAATTATGTCTGTAAATATATTTTCCCTTTAAAGACCCACACAAATATCACTGAAATGAACATATTAAATGTTAATTCTCACTAATCCTACATAGAACAATTGCTTCATAATATGTATGCATTTTACCTAGGTCTATAGAACTTGAAATAAACAAAAGCACTTATTTAGTCTTAATTGTATCATTGATGTTGAGTGACTTGAGGTTCCTTGTAAATTTCTTTTTCCAAATATGCATAATTTGAGTTCCCTTGGCCTTGTTTTCAGTCAATCTGCATGACTGTGCAGTCCTTTATGTCCTTTCAGCTGATAAGAAATCATTCAATAAAGTCATAACCTTTTATCAATTATGGCAAACTGCCTAGAAGGGAAAAAAACATAACATTAAGGACAGACAGGATCTGTCTCTGGGAGGTCAGTTAATAGGTTTCCTCACTGATGTCAGCTTTGTGCAGTAGCTTGTAAAAAACCATGTATTAGCAAATGCCAATACTTCAAGAATTAATCTACATAAATAGTCTAATGAGCAGTCAAAGAAGAAAAATGAACTGCAGGGCCAACATTAATTGTGCCCAAAGATAATTAAAACAAAGTGTTGTTAATTGTGTGTTGGTTTAATGTTATATATCCTTGCCCTTGTTTTTTCTTGGAGGGTATAAATTTTTATGTCAAAGGCTGAAAGCTCTTTGGTTTATTAATCAAGAGATACATTTTCTCGGTTATTTGCAATTAGCAGTTCTCATCCTTTAGTATTCTGAGAGTAATTAATCTTAGTATTTCATTAATGTATTAAAAAAAAACAGAAAATGGGTATTTGACATTACATTCACAGTAAAGTAATTAGCAGGTTCCTTCATCTTGAGTATTCAAATTATTACAATTATCAGACATGATTCATAAAATTAACAAGTCTAATAAAGCACATAGTAAAGTTAGTCCATCATCTGTGCAGTGTTATGCATTAAGATTATGCCTATAAACAAAACTCATGAATATTACCTTTCTCAGGACCACATTGTGCTATCACTAATATTTGCATGGAGGTAACTAACAGCAGGATTCGGCCCACCGTATGGTGACTGATGCAGAGCTGATCGGAATTTTTTTCCCCTGTGGATAGATTTGGAAAAACTGGAACCGGAAAATTTTCAGCCAAAACCCAAATGTTTTTGGCTGAAAAGTTTGCAATTTTGGCCAAAGTGTATAAGATGAAAATGCAAAATTTTCTGCGGAAAGCAGACTCTTTTAATGAAAAATATTATTTCATTGGAAACTCAATTTTTCACGGAGACAGTTTTGTTGGAAATTTTTTGACCAGCCTTTGATCAATGGAAGACCATTTGGAGGAGCTGATTCCTTTTTAAAAATTATTTGTTGGCCCAGTGCATAATTTTACCAGTAGTATTTTTTGTGGGGGGGGAAATGTTACAAGAAAATATTTTCATTATATATTTCTCTCTACAAGCAGTGGATTGCTGGCATTAGCATACATTAATATCAGAAGAAGGCACCAAGAAATAATTTAATATATAGTTAGATGTGACATAGCTTATCATGCAATGGACACATGTCACATTCAGTCAGTGATTTAAAAAAGCACGGTAAATCCGTATATGTAAACACTGCCATGAGTAATAAGCACACTGCTTATATGCTAGAGAGTATTTCCATTCACCAACTATCCAAAACACTTAATTTTTTTCTCTGATATTTCTCTTTCTAAGTCTTAATACTTACTTAGGTTAAATGAATCACATGTATAACATTTCTGTTAGTAAAGTGTATAAGTTGGGTTGTGTGGAAGTAACATCTCCTGCTTGCTTTGTGAGCAGGATACATTGTTCTAAACAAAACTGCTTGTTACTTATAGTGGAAAATTAGGACTAAGGCGTCAATTCAGGAAAGCACTTGCTTAAGTGGTTAAGCAACATTGGGTTTGCTCAAGGACTCTCCTGAATAGGGATGCATTCCCAAATATAAGGAACATAAAGGACCTCAACACTCCTCTCAAATACAATTGGTACTTTAAAATAGCATTATGGCTTAATACAATAGATAGAGATTATAAGTATATGTACACCAGGCAGTAAAATAAGAGTAGATAATTTTGGACACAGTTTGAGATGGGAATTTGCAAGATGCGCCTAGTCTCATCAAACTAATAAAAGCTAAAATAAAGCATCTGATTATAAATAATTTTGTATCACAGACTTGTAATGTCTTTTCAAGCCTTGTGTATCTTCCTAGCTCTATTAGCTCTGGTCTACACTGTTACGCAACTTCAGCTTCATGAATAACGTAGCTGAAGTTGACGTACTTAAATCTACTCGCCGTGATGTCTTCACTCCCCCTTCAACTCTGCCTGCACCTCTTGCTCCGGTGGAGTACCAGAGTTGACGGGAGAGTGCTCGGCGATTGATTTATCGCGTCTGATGCGATAAATCGACCCCCACTGGATCGATCGCTGCCCGTTGATCCAACGGGTAATGTAGACAAGCCCTTACTTCCTTTGGAAACCACCCTAATCATAACACCACCTCCTAAAAATCCCATTCAAAATTGTTGGCCCAAAGTGGAAATTTTATTTAAAAAGTTGGCAGAAATATAGCATATGTGTGTGATTTAAAAATATTTTCAATATATAAATATTTTCAGAAATATGCTATTTGTGTCTGTGTATATATATGTATGTATGTAGTGCCGGGAGCTGGGCTTACCTGCTCTTACCATCACTTAGTAGTTAAGTCATTGGGACCTCAATTTCCCCCTCCCAGTCTCTGGTGCTTCCTGTCAGCAACTCCTCCTCCTGCCTTTTGGTTGTGTATCTACTCAGTCCTCCAGCAGGGTCACCAATTTAACTCATCCCCCCTTTCGGGGCAGCAGCATTCAACAAACTGTAGAGGGTCCCACATCCTTCTGACAAGAGAGGATCCTCAGTTTATCTCCTGGCCCCTGCAGATGGCTGGTCCTTCCCATGAGGCTTTCAGCATCTCTATCTTCTCCTTACTTCTGGGAGGGGTGGAAGTGATGGTTATATCCCTGTATGACGAGGGCATTTGAGAAAGGAGCCTGGTCCCTTCCACTACACTAAGCTCTTATTCTGGGCCCTATGCGAGGCAAACGAAGTCAGGCACCAGGGTGTGCCTCAAGACTGCCTCCTTGGACCGCTTCCTACTATCCACCCCCTTCCACAGTCTCAAAGTCCAACTTAATATAGCAAAGGGGAGTGGGGGAAAGGGTAACTGAACCTTCAGCCTGGCTAGAGTCATCTGGTAGTCCCTTCCTCCCCAGCAGAGGCTTTTGTGGCAGCTTTGGTCTGGAGAACTCAGGGTAGATCTGACCTGTTCCCCCATCTGAGTTGTCTGGCTCCCTTTAAAGTCCTTCCTCCAGCTGAAGCATGCTCTGCGGGTTTGGGGAAAGGAGGGGGTGCAGAGTTACAGGGGCCCAGAACTGCTCCTGAACGCTTTCCGTTCTATTGTGGGATTTATACTCCTCATCACTGTCTCTCCCCCACCCCCACATGTTCTTGTAACGAATATTTGACACTGACTTATGAATTCAGCACATATTTTAAGAAGAGATCATTTGCATCAAGAAAGTTTTCACATATTTAGCCAAATATACAATTTCAACACCTAAGAGATTCCCAGGGTACACAGAGTCCTTCCTTTCTCTTCCCAGCCCTTCCTCATCATCCTATTGCTGGAGTGTGCTCTCCCTGCACTAAAGATGGTAATATATTTATAATTAATCTAGGGAAGAATTTGAACTAGTAGCAAAAAAAAGGTTTTGCTATATACTAACATCTTGGAGGAACAACATACTAAAGCAGAGGAGTTACCATCTATCAACACCCTAGCCCCAAAGAAGCACACCAATGGGTTATTCAGCCTTTATTTTTATGCTACCCATATAGGAAAAAATAATCTTATGTTCTAATTACATAACAGGAAGAGAATTCTTTGTACGCTAATAGTATTTGGAATACTGAACATCACCACAATAGCTGGGAGGCAAGTAATGGGTTTCTGCACGAATGGTCTGCTGCCAAAATGGCAAATATGATGAAGCTA